AGTTTGATGAAGTCGAGCAATTGAATTTGAAGGCAATAACAGCGCCTGCATATTGCATATTGATAAGGACAAGTAGTAAAACACAGAACAGATAGAGCATGGACGTGTTCCGACTGTTGGATCATCAGCATTGCGCAAGTACAAAGAAAACAAGAATCTTGTTTTCTTTGTACTTGCATCATGTCGGTGGCGACTGAATAATCGAAACGCGTCCATGTCCTATTGGTTCCGCGCCTGCCTATAAACATATTACATACGGACATATCTTTTTTCAAAATAAAAAAAGCTTCACGCCTCATTTACCTTTGCCTTCGGCACTTTCTAGCAAAATAGATGCTGGACAATATACGTGACTCGTACCTACTTCGACATTGCAATTCAGTGCATGCACACGCTCGCGGAACAAACTTTTTATCGCAATCAAGTCAGCTTTTAAAAACTGGACGACTTTTTGCCCGCCAGTAGGAAGTTCCAAATCAGCTCTGCGCGGCCGCGCGGTACCAGTAACCCGTTTGTGGTTTCGCGGGCACGTGCCGCCGGTCAGTGCGCGCGCCGCCGACTGCACGCGCGGCCCGTGCCGCTATTTGGAGCGTGCCGCCGAGCTGGCCCAGTTGGAGCAGGACACCGCCGCAGTCCACCAGACCGCCGCCACCGGTCTGCACTCGGAGGAAAAAGGCAGGAGGACGCGCCGCGCCGGTCCGCCCGGCCGGCCGTCGACGCGGCAAAAACGGCGCCCCTGATTAATGGCAACATCGCCGCACACCCGGGTCACTCGGCAAACAGCGCCACCCGGAAAACGGCACCGATCGGCGCGGCGGGAGCTGGATCGGGCCGCCGGCCGCCGTATGGGGACGCTGAGCCCCGTCACTAGGCAATGGGCGCCGTCCGGGGGCAATGGGCCCCGCCACTAGGCAATGGGCGCCGTCCGGGGGCAATGAGCCCCGTCACTAGGCAATGAGTGCCGTCCGGGGGCAATGGGCGCCGTCAGTGGGCAATGGGCGCCGTCCGGGGGCACTCGGCGCCGTCAGTGGGCAATGGGCCCCGTCAGTGGGCACTGGGCGCCGTCCGGGGGCACTGGGCGCCGTCCGGGGCAATGGGCCCCGACAGTGGGCAATGGGCCCTGTCAGTGGGCAATGGGCGCCATCCGGGGGCAATGGACCCCGCCACTAGGCACTGGGCGCCGTCAGTGGGCAATGGGCGCCGTCCGGGGGCAATGGGCGCCGTCCGGGGGCACTCGGCTCCGGCCAGGAGCGCCGGCAGCGCTGTTTTTTACAGATCGCGACGGGGCGTGCCGCCGATGGAGGGCATTCCGTTGTGTTTTGCAGGCCGCCGCCTGTGGTAGGGACTGGGTAAACTTCTCATGGGACGTCTGAACTATTTCCACCCCGTGTTGTACAAACACACATCATGGCCTGTGGTATGCGAAAGATGCGCCCCGAAGGACGGCGCACGGCACAAAAAGAACCGAAGGAGTCGGGAGGGAGAATAGGTGATATTGAAAGCAAGTCTGTCAATGGAATGTAGATTTAGTTGAATGGAAGCTAGAAAATTAAGACTTCTTGGCGACTTTCACTTGGGATGATAGAATGCTTTAATCTACCAGTGGCCTAGTAACTAGGTAGCATAGGGAGAAAAACTGCATGAAAGCAAACATCCATTAGACTGATGCTTAATAAAAAGACTCGATGCCTATATTTTCTGTAATTTCTATATGCAAACGTTTCTGCGTCAATATTTCTATTCCCAAGCAATAGCTTGCAGCATTACATGTGTGCCATATACTATACAGTAAATTGGAGAGACGTGTACGACACCTAACAGTGAGTAGTAAACGGTCTTCTGCTGTGACTACTCGAGGGCAGCGCTTTTCGAGGAGCGCTGTGGCCCGAAGGTTTGAACTTTGAATTGTGAAAAACGCCCGCCCGCCGCAAAACGCAAACACCGCAAAACGCGCAAAACGCACGCCCGAAACGCCAACGCAAAGGTCGCAAAAAAATAAACAAACGCCCGCCCGCCGCAAACCGCAAATAAAAAAACGCAAAAACGCCGCAAAACAATAAAACCGCCCGCATCGCACGCCCGCTAACCGCCAACCGAAAACGCCTAAAAATCGCCCGCCCTCCGCCAAAAAAAAAACACCGCAAAAAAACGAAAAAGCGGCCGCCAACCGCAAACAAATTTAACACCGCAAACGACGCAAAAAAAAGAAAACCGCCCGCATCGCCCACCCGCCCGCCCGCCGCCAAGGACAAACACCGCAAAAAAACACAAAACGCCCGCCCGCCGCAAAACGTAAACACCGCAAAACGTGTAAAACGCACGCCCGAAAAGCCAACGCAAACGGCAAAAAAATCGCCCGACCGCCGCAAACCACACAGAAAAAAACGCCGAAATGCCGAAAAAAATAAAACCGCCCGCACTCACCGACGCTAACTGCTAACCGAAAACGACTAAAAGTCGCCCGCCAGCCGCCAAACGCAAACACCGCAAATAAGCGCCCGGCCGCAGCAAGATAATAATTTATCAACGACTGGCATACCGCTAGGCTGGTCATTTTCACAAATCAAAAAGATATCTGCAAAAATCTCCTAGATGAAAGCGCCCGATCAAAAAACGGATGGCACGTGCGTGTTCCTCGCCCCCAACTTCCTTCAGGTCAATCGTCATTTGGGTCACCTAACGCATTGACGACCGGCTGGGTGGAATGAACATTGCGCCAAGAAACGTAAGTATATTGTCAAAAAGAATCCCCAGAATGGTGGATCCCAAAAGTTTGAAACTACCACTTTGGCCCACTGGACGACACCTTAAACAGTTACCGACCGGATGACACCCATTGTTTGGTCACCCATGCCATAGTATGCATCATGGGTGCGCCGAAATGACCAAAAGTCCCAATTTCCGGTGTGCAGGGTCATTTTCAACGGCACGTGGCACGTGGTTCTGGACTTTTCCGGCCACTTTGCGACATACCCATGAGTAGTGCACCGAATGGTGGTTGATCTGCATGGAAGAAAATGGGGGGTCGTTTGGATCGTTTTCGAGCAATCTGCCGTGGAACGCATTTTTTCATTTTGCCCATTGGCTTAACCCTCGCCCTGGCAGGGCATTTTTCATAACACGGCCTGGCAGGGGGGGGGGGGGTCGATGCGACCCCCCCCTCGCGATTGGCTCCTATGGCACCTAGAAACACCAAATTTGGTAGGTAGGTGGGCCCCCTGGAGTTCTCACCCCTGTGCAAATTTGGTTGCTCTAGGTCGATATTTAGGGGGTTTTTGGGGGGTATAAATGCAAAAATTTCGCTAGAAACAGGTCAAAAGTTTTTTTTTCGCTTATAACTTTTGATCTAATTAAGATAGAGCAAAAAGAAAAGCACCAGTGAACTCAGCACGTCAAGACGCGTCGAATGATATACTTCTTAGCTTGCTTAAGTGTACTTTAAGTTTTTCTTAAATTTTAAGTAAACTTAACTTAATAAATTAAGTTCAAGTTAATCAAATTGCATCATATCGCATATCATTCGATTCAGCTGATCACCAGGAACACAATGATACCATTTTTGAAGCTCTAGCGTCATTATGTGCCAAGTTATTGGCAAAAACGTCATTTGACCTCAGTTGACCTCATTTGACCTGACCCATGGATAAGTACACCAAACAAAGAAGCAGCATGTGACCTGCTGTTAAGTACTGTGGTTTCAAAGCAAAAAAGTGATGAACGAAGTGGATATCTCCAGTATTTTCCGAATTTAGCATTTTCCCATAGGCTTAACATAACGACGTAATGACCTCTAACTGACCTCAGGTCAGTGACCTCAAAAAACCCGAACTATATGTTATATAACTCGGTGAACTTAGCACATCCTGAAAGTTGGAAGGAAATCAGTCAAAAACTGTGAGTTGGACAGGTGTTAAAAGAAAATTGAAATTTGACCATGACCTTGTACCTGTTTTTCTGACCTGGTGACCTGACCCAAGGTCACCCGGACCTGAAATTTTCAGGTCATATGTAAAAATGTTGCCCCATAGGCTGTGCCAAATTTGGCGGCGCTACGCGCCGCCGTTTTTACGCTATCTTCGAAAAACCTAAGGGGGGGTCGCATCGACCCCCCCCTGCCAGGGCGAGGGTTAACACGGGAATTTTCAAAGTCACGTGGCACGTGCACCAGATGGTCCGCGGAGGGGAGACCCATACCAGAACGTAGATCACCTGGCCCACTAGAAATCCTGAAAAAATCAGAATTTTTGGAGCAGCCGTTTTCAAGAGCATCAAGTTGCACTGATCTCAGGCAGCTTTTGCCAAATTGTCAGGGAACTCAGATTTGTTTTTCAATAGAAAAACACAATTCTAAAGAATAGTGTTTTAACTATTGACAACAAACCTTCGGTTATGGGCCTCGACGATTCGTATAAAAAAAAAAACAGAACCAGTTATTGAAAGGAAACGATAGATCGCTTATCAATCGTTTGTTAGCCTTGAACCCATAGTTTGTGTTCTTTTCGTATTCTTTTATTTATCACTGGAGCTGAATTAATTCTTGTCATTCTCTCCCGGTCAGCCGTGAAGCCCGCAGAATGCATCCATTTGGGGCTGAGCCATTTAAGAGCTGGCGGTCCGAATAAACAGGGCCGTTTAACTGGGACGGGCCGCCGCTCATCAATCATCCGCGGCGCGCCGGCGGCGAGCGGCCCGCGGCGCGGCGCTCTCCCAGCCGGCGCAGCTGTCACCAAATCGACGCGCGCGCGACCGACGCGGCGTCGGCGGCGGCGCCGGTCACGGGCGGCCGTCGGCCGGCGTCGCTCACGGTCCTCCGGTCGCCCCGCCCGGCTGCAATCGGCCTGCAAAACCCCCCAAAAGGCGACCAACGGCACGAGCCCGCCGGCACCGCCGTCCAATGGGCGGCGCCTGCCGGCTGACGTCAGCCGACCGACCAATGGGGCGGCGCGGCGGCGGCGGCGGCGCCGCGGCCGGCCGCCGCCGCCGACTCCAGCAGCAGTGATGCATTACGCATGAGAGCGGACGAGCGCGTCGGCGGGTCGGCGGGCCGAGCGATGGCATCGGGTGCGTACGGACTGCCGGCGTCCGGCGCCGACGTGAGCGTCAGTGTGGCCGAGACGATGCTCAACTCGCCCGTGTACGTGCAGAGAGACGAGATGAAGTACCTGCCGCACCCGCAGCAGGCCGGCGCCGTGCCCTCGCCGCAGCACTCCTGGATGCTGCCGCCGCAAACGGAGCCCATGTCCTGGGCGCTGCCGCACCCGCCGCACGTCAGCGTGCACGAGGACGTCAAGCACCAGGAGGAGCTGGTGCACGTGAGTCGCGCGGCGCCGCTGCACGCGCCGCCCAGCTGGCACCCGAGCGTGCCGCCGCCGTACCTGAGCCCGCCGCCGAGCGGCTCGCCGGTCGGCCAGCACCACGTCTACAGCATGCACACCATGGCGCCGCACCAGCTGCACTCGCCGCACCTGCACGGCCGCGAGCCGCAGCACGAGCTGCTGGCACCGCACCCGGAGCCGGTGGCCGAGCAGCCCGAGGAGCCCTCCTCCGACGACCTGGAGGTGTTCGCCAAACAGTTCAAACAGCGCCGCATCAAACTCGGCTTCACGCAGGCCGACGTCGGCCTGGCGCTCGGTACCCTGTACGGCAACGTGTTCAGCCAGACCACCATCTGCCGCTTCGAGGCGCTGCAGCTCAGCTTCAAGAACATGTGCAAGCTGAAGCCGCTGCTGCAGAAGTGGCTGGAGGAGGCCGACTCGACCACCGGCCTCACCACCTCTGTCGACCGGATGGCGGCGCAGGGGCGGAAGCGCAAGAAGCGCACCAGCATCGAGGTGTCGGTGAAGGCGCTGTTGGAGCAGCACTTTCTCAAGCAGCCGAAGCCGGCCTCGCCCGAGATCAGCAGCCTGGCCGGCTCGCTGCAGCTGGAGAAGGAGGTGGTGCGCGTCTGGTTCTGCAACCGCCGCCAGAAGGAGAAGCGCATGACGCCGCTGAACCCGTGCCCCGGCTACGAGAAGGGCGACGGCGGCTCACCGCAGTCGTACGTGTCACAGTCGGAGCTGCAGCACATGCACGCCGCGCTGGGCGCCGCGCCGCCGCCTGGCCAGCATGGCCAGCATGCGCTGCCGCCGCCCGGAGACCCCATGTCGCCAATGACTCCACAGCAGCAGCAGCATCAGCAACAGCAACAACAGCAACAGCAGCAGCACCAACACCAGCAACAGCAGCACCATCAGCAGCAGCAGCAGCAGCAGCAGGCGTACCCTGCGCGGCACCTGGACCCACTGCCGGGCAGCCCGTCCGACCACCTGCAGCCCAGTCACAGTCCGGACATGATGTCGCCGCAGCCGGCGCCACTGCCGCCCCACTCACAGGGCCTGGCCGCGCGCTGACCGCGCTGCTACCTCCGGTCACACCAGCCCAGATGGGAGAGCCACGGAGAGCAGCGCTGTCTCGGGTAGTGCCCTCACGGATGGAGCTGGCGGGCGAGCGCAGTGCAGAACTCAGCCCCAGCTCCGCGGCATTCACCATCTCGCCCGTCTGCGAGCGCCGCGAGAAGAGGAGACGGTGGGACGAGGCAGGATCGGCCAGTACTGGCGGCGGACGGACCGGGCCGCGGAGACAGACAGGCGGTAAGCAGTCCGAGAGTGGGCGTCTTCACGTCGTGAGGGTCGCTCCCCTGACGCGCTAGGTCTGGGCTCGTTGGTGCGGGGCTCCACTCGAACTCCGTTGTTAGTGATTGTGGTCTCGGAGCGGCGCCGTCGTGTGGTCACCGTGGTCTCCCAGTCCGTGACGCACGGGTGTCGTGGTCTCAGCGTTACCGGGTGTCGTGGTCTCATCTCCTGTCCATCCCGCGCCGGCCGCCGCCTCCCGTCCCTGGTCTCGCGCGTCCCGGCCGGCCGGCTGGCCAGCGGTCGCCGTACCTGTTGCGGCGCCCACGTCAGCCCTCGCGGCGGTACGGCGGTGCTCGGAACTGCCGGTTTGCAGACGTTATAGCAGTCCCAGTTAGCTGCTGCTAACGTGCCGATGGGTACCTGTTGCCCGTTAGGCGGCTGAGGCTGATAGCCGCCGCAACAGAGGGCACAGATTCCCACACGTTTTGCGGTACTGCCACTGCAGTGCCGGGTCGCTGCCACTGCAGTGCCGGGTCCCTGCCGGTCCCGCCGTGTCCCAGACGCTCCTCTCCGGCGCCGCGGCTGCTTTGCCGGCTGTAAACGCCCGATCGCACCCAGCTCAAGGCCAGGCCATAAAAAGGTTATGACCTCAGTGGCCCGGCGCACAGCCGATTCATCCCCAGCCGAGCGGCAGAGGCCGGAGGCGGGACGGGATGGGAGGGAGGGACCATCGAGATGGAGAGGAGGGACCAGACGGGATTGAGGGGACGGACCAGGCTAGACGAAGTGGAAGGAAAGGGAAAAGGCGGGATGGGAGGAAGGGAGGGAACCGACTAGACGAGATGCAGAGGACAGAGACCAGACGAGACGGGATGGGAAGGGACCTGGTCAGACAGGATAGACGAATGACGAAGTGGTAGGATGGAGGTGCAGGGCTAGCTCGGACAAGACGAGGGGCGGCTCGGAGGAACCGGGACCAGACAGGGTGATCTCGAAACAAACAATAGGGCTAGAAGACGGGGACTGTAACAGCAAGGCAGAGCGGGGAAATCATGGATATCAGGAGGGATGGTTAGATCAAGCTGGCTGCTTTAGACGGACTACGGTGTCCGAGAAGGGGCAATGAAGACCAAATCTCTGACAGGGCAGGACTGGACGCGTGGATTCGAAGGGGAAGGACGGGGCACGGGGACCCGGGACGGGCAGGACAGGAGATGGAGACCTACGACGGGAGCGGCAGAAGACGGGAAGAGAGACCCGGCGCCGGGCGGGACGGGACGCAGGGACCCGGGACGCGAGGGACGGACGCGGGACCCTCTGTGATACGCCGGGCCTTTCAGCGGACCTTTGCAATAGTAGATGTAGCGGGACAGTGAGGCTGGCTGCCTCTGACCGGCGCCTCTGCCCGGGGTGCTGAGTAGGTCAGCCGCCCGGCTGCTCTGGGGGCCCCGTAGCCGGTGTGTTTGTTCGCAGGTCACTCTCGTAGTTGAAGCCGTTGGGCACGGCAACGTCGCCGCTCGTAATCGCGTCTTGAGCTGAGTTGTTGGAAATTCGAAAAGTGAGAAATATCAGTCATGGATATTCCTTGCTAAGAGCATGTTAATGTGGAAAATCGCAATATGGCTTGATCCTCTTCTGACCCATATGATAGAAATTGTTCTTTAGGAAAATAACTTTTTTCACTTCAGAACAAGCCTTGACACTTTCAAAGGTGACACTTCTTGTCACCTTTGACACTTTCAAACCTCGAAAACTAGAAAATATTTATAGTCAATCGCTGATAGTTTTAACGGGTACCCTCAAGCCTTCAGAGGGGTCGGGTGCCATCTTTTAATGCTCAATGAAAGGGCCTTCAAATTCACAATTTCAATTGAAAATGCTCAATATCGATATAGTACAAGTGTCGGCAATGTTATGCGCGCGTTCGCTCCGTTGGCAAACGAGGCATACAGTGATATGTACGGTTGGTCAATGTGTTAACAAATCAAAACAGAAAACTGCTAGTGTTCATGTACGATTAACTTTGCACTGTTTAGTCATGATTGCAGTATGAATGAGAATGGCTTTGAGTATCTGACGAGATACTCTATCAGAGTGCTTTGCAATTGTTTATTTTCACACGATGTGTGATACTTGTGTGAATCGTTTATGTTGTGCAAGTCTTAGGATTTGAGTGAAAAGAGCTATGTGAAATATATGCATTGTTGTAATCATATTGCTCTCCTCTGTAACAGAACAATAAGTGACAGCGGAAACACTACCGATCTAACACGACTAAGCAGGAAACATTCATCAATCATTCATCCGCGCACCTATTTGCAGCCATTAGCGCTCCTATTACGTGCCTTCAACCATGTTCGTTGACCAGAGGGTGATAAAATAGCTTTTCCCTGAGAAGGGACAATACCTACTGCACGTCCTTAGGATCAGGCCAATCACCGATGGTGTTGTGGCCGCTAGCGCCGCGGACTATGCTGCAGTTCTTCTGAAAGACAGGGTTTGTGGTCGGGAATGTCTATCTCTCATTTATGTTGATGATCATTTGTAGGTAACTGCTGAAGCAAGTGTTTAAGGCGTCACTATTTAAGGGCGGCCAAAAGCTAACAGCTTCCAAAAGTGGAGGAAGCGCTATCTCGAGAATCGCCCGTCTGGTGCGCGAAAAACGACCCGCCAATCTCGCCCTGTCGTAACATTGTGATCGATTGATTCATGTTTTATGTATGACGGCCCTCATCGCCATGCCAGCAGAAAATTGATAACGCTTTTAAGTGCACTGCAAAAGGCCTCGCATTTTCAGCTAGCTGTTATTTGTAAAGCCACACGTCTTCTGTCCCAAGGCATATACCCATGTCTTCCAAAAACAACGTTTGAAAAAGTGTTGCCTTTTTATTATTTTACCTTCAGAAGACGGCGTTTTTACACCAGTTGTGAGTTGTGACCTCTGAAATCTTCTATGTTTTGTGCTCTTGAAACACTAATTTCTTTTATTCTTTTGAGGTAAACATTTTTTTTCATTGAAATGCCATCGCGCCAGTAGGAGAAAGTGGGGTAAGACGGTCAGGGTAGGTAAGACGGGCACCCCTTCTGCAGACCAAACCAATAGCGCAACGAGCGAGAAAAATTAGGACCAGAATTGCGTTTCCCACTACAGTACACACCACCATTGAAGTCTGTAGAATTTGTGTTAAGTCAATAATCCTTTATTTTGATTTCTTTAAAAACACTCATTTCATTGAAAACATCCATAATGTATTGTGCAAGCTTTTGTGTGCAGCACTATAGAATTACAACCTCGCAATCACTTGTACACACATATGCCACCATGTGTTCATTTACCGCGGATTTGCTTTGTCTGCATCAAATTGTCACAGAGAAAAATCGTGCTGAACTTCTGACATTGAGTTTGGGGTAAGACGGGCAACTATGGATCCAATGGGTCTGTAATGATGGTGAAAATATTTTGTTGCTGTAGGAAAAAAAAACATTTCTGTTAAGAATATGCTCGATTTCGATACTCACAGACATGTTAGCAATATTCCTTTGGCACAGGTTATTCTCGAATAATGAATGTGAAAAACGGCTCTACAAGGCTTCTGAACTAGGGCCTATATACGAGCATACGCCTTCTGCACGAATCTCGTATACTGCCTTTTCCGAAGTACTTGAGACCAATTAGCGACTGTATCAATGCGGCTAATCTCGGGCAACTGTTGCGAGCTGCGCTGGTCGGTGAAAGAAGCTGGCCGTCTTGCCCTACCCATATGACCGTCTTACCCCATGGGGTGGGGTAAGAGTAAGTCGGGCTTTTGCAAGGTTTTGCAAAAACAGCTGTAGTTCATCTGTTGGATCAGCTCTAAGTCTCATCTTCTGAAAATGGAAGTAAAGTGTCTAAAAAAGGTTTTCACTCACTTTCCCCTTTCCATATGTTTATAACCGGCCGAAAAATGGTTCTTAAGTTAAAATGCCCGTCTTACCCCACTTTACCCTACCTGACTAATAATATGGATCATAACTTTTTTGTCTTAGTAGTGCACAGGAATATTTCTACCTTGCTTCATATAAAGAAGTATTTCGCGTCAACACCTACATGCAAATATAAACACCTTGAAACCTGCTAAATGAATGAAACAATATTCATAATTTAATCTTAATCAGATTCAATAGATTACACACCTTTGGTCTGTTGAAGGGTCTGAAAAGACAAACAGTGCAGTTATATTGTACATGGTCATTGTTGAGAGACATTCGCGTAAACACACGAAAGCTTCTTGGTCTCCACCCGCGTCGTATCGTCTGTTACGCGACTGCTGTAGCCATTCCAGTAAGCTACCTGATAAGGATGATACGACAGTCCGTGAGACATTCCTATGAATGGAGGCGTTTTAGCGGAATGGCGGCCGTTCGTCAGGCGAATCTCCCGATCGTGTGCACCATTACGGCTGCATTCCGGCGGGCGGCGTCTGTTTCACGGGCCCGCTCCTACCGCGCTCTGCAGCCGGCCTGCCGACGTGGGCCATTACTTCTGGGGCCGAGACGTCCGCCCGGCAGCGGCCGAGGCGGCGGCACACGACCCAGCTAGCTGCAGGGAGACGTGACGGCCGGACCAGCTGCAGTGACGGCCGGACCAGCTGCAGAGACGGTTCGACCAGCTGCAGGGAGACGAGACCGTCCAACTATCTGCAAGGCGAGGAGACGGGCCCAACAGCTAGCGGCAGGAGACGAGACGGCCCTATCCGATGCAGAAGACGAGACGGCAGATGTCAACGGATCGTCTTGTAGCCTTCAGAGAGGCGAGACGGCTGTGCCAGCTGCAGAGGACGGAAACGGGAGACGGCCCGACGAACATAGACAAGACAGCTCTTGGTGGAACTAGTTGCAGAGAGACGAGACGCGGGAAAAGCCGCAATGTTGAGAAGGGATGGAGTGGGGAATTGCTGTTACGCGATCTGGATCCTATATCAGCGTAAGTTTGCCTAACATCTGCAGTTCCTGTGGCAATTTTCTTCGTTCATTTCTACAAAAGGCCTTTATAGCGTGCGGTGAAAACTTGTTTGAGGTCTGAAGCCATTTTTTTTGTTTTTCCTTACCAAGTTTCTCACCTGCAATACCCGGCATATCTATATAGGTAGCTACTATGCATGCTCTCAAGTAGAATGAAGCTATCAGACATTACGATGTGAGGTGACATAAATCCCCAGAGCTCTCTTTCCATGCTCGTGGTCTCCTCCCCAGCGCTCGACCTTCGCCCCTGCCCGGGCCTTTGTCGACTGTCAGAGGTCCGTGACAGCGATTGCCTTGCGGGCGAACGGCCGCTGAGGCGGACAAGTCGTCCCATCCAGATCATCCCCATGGCAACACTGGGAGGGGCAACGGCAAATGAATCACACCTGAACTGGCATCACCTCCGGCCGGCTGGCGGTTGCCAACCAGTCCGACAGCACGCTGCCTGAGATCCTGAGTTTCTGAGTCACTGTGAGCCTGTCTGAGTTTGATGAGAACGAAGAACCTACAAGAATGAATGAAACCGGAACTAATCGCCTTTGTCAACATGTGCTGGACTTTGCTGCTCTTCTGAAATCACTAAACGCATCGTCGCCATTGTTGCTCGTCTCTTCATCCTATAAGCGTCAACCACACAGGCCCGAGCCACAGAAACGCCGCTGCACAGCCACCGGAGCGACCGGCGCGGACAGTGCGTCGGTTTTTGTCGCCGCGCGGGCTGCGCTGCGCCGTTTTTGTATCAGCACTGCCTCCACCTGCCACCGAAGATTTTTCATTCCTCATTAGCACCGCGGGTACATTTCCAGTGGTGAATAGGATTGAACGAGACGAAGAGGAATGCATTTTGTTCGCGTGAAGATACATGCGCACTGCTCATGTAGGAAGCGAGGGGAATGAATAGGTGGCTTGGCCACCCAGGTAATTTACCCAGATCCTGTTTACTTTTTTAGACAGTCTAGCCTGCATGCGTTGGCAGTGGACGCTGCTGAATGTAGCCTTAGACTTTATCTGTAGAAGTCAGCCAAGAACGCCACACACATGGGCTAATAAACTACTCCGGGCAGCCAGTTTTGGGCACTGCGCTGCACGGGTAAGTATACCTACCAGTTACCACTCAACGCTCCAGCCCTGACGCTGTTGCCTGTAGATCCGTCTGCAGCTTCAGATGCTGATGCCAGCACTGTAGGAGCTTCAGCTGTGTATGTGTTATGAAACGATTGAGCTTAGAGTACAATGTTCATCAATCAAGCCTAAAACCCAGCAGCACGTGTATTTCTGCACAAGGAGTCAGAAGCGATACGCAACACGCATGCCTGAAGTCACACGACACGAGCATGCATTCTTTGCCTCTGGACGTATTTAGGGACAAAGGCGACTTCAGCAACGGACGACATGTTTTTCCTTCGACGTTCCGTCTTTCAGAGTAACCGTCAGAAACAGGGTTCATAGTCTCTAAATTTGTGAGTACCGACATCAAAACAGCTTGGCACCCTCACATTTCGCGATCCATCCCTCCTCACGACTCGTCAGGACTCGGACCTGCAGGTCACCTCTGCTGAGTGGAGGACGGGGACCGTAGGCGCGGCCGGTTCTCGTTAGTGCTCGCCTGTCGCCGGCCTCCGTGAATACCGTAACGATAACGGATGACCGGCCGATGGCGGAGCTCGGGGGTCGCGCGCCGGCCGCTGCAGAGCCGTGCATCCCGGCCTTGGCGGCACGTACCGCCCGCCGCCGCCGGCTGCAGGGATGGCGGGCTGGGACGGCCGGCAGACAGGGCAGCGGCACTGCTGGGGAGGGAGGGAGAGAGAGAGAGAGAGGGAGGGAGGGAGGGAGGGAGAGAGAGAGAGAGAGAGAGAGAGAGAGAGAGAGAGAGAGAGAGAGAGAGAGAGAGAGAGAGAGAGAGAGAGAGAGAGAGAGCCTGATGCCCATAGTATCCTGCAGGACACAGCCGGGTGGCAGTCGACGCGGCCGAGGCAGCAGCCCGCTGCCCTGTCTCTTGCAGGACACACATGACACAGTATCCTGCGGGAGACAGCCGGGCCTCCTGACACAGTATCATCGGGGAGACAGCCGGGCCTCCTGACACAGTATCCTGCGGACACGGCCGGGCCTCCTGACACAGTATACTGCGGATACGGCCGGGCCTCCTGACACAGTATCCTGCGGGAGACACAGCCGGGCCTCCTGACACAGTATCCTGCGGATACGGCCGGG